AGAAAGAAGATGCTGACTTCTGCAGCAGCCTTGTGCAAGACAGTGTCCCAAGACCCTCCCCTACGGCCCTGGGGACTAAAGCACACAAAACTGTCTCAGGGTTAAGACTGCAGTGGCAACCCGAGACTCACACTTGGATGGCTGCCATGAAAAGCAGGGAGAGACCACAGCACCAGTTTAAACTTCTATTAGCCCCCAGCTATTTAGTCCCATAACTTCACGTTTACAGTGATTTTAGTTCTTAAGACATGATAATTCATCTGAAGGTTGCTTTTTTCCCCCCACAGGGCAGTAGGTAACACCAGTAGTGGTCACACTGCATCTTTGGGTTCTTATCCTTAAGACAAGCTTGCAAGTCTTTCAGCACCAGACCAGCTTTGCTGCTTTCAGAGCCCAGGGATGGCTGAGGTAGAGGGTTCTGCTGTGAAGAAGCCAGTGAAGAGCTCAGGAGGGGTCCTATTCTTCAAAAAACAGGAAATACAGACACCTGCCCTCAAACAGGTGCATTCTGCCAAGTTGCTAGTAGCAACCCTCACAAACTGAACAGTTCCTTCAGTTCCTAGCCAAGACCAGCCCCAGAAGTCACACAGTTGCCTGATGAAGGTAAGGAACAGAAGCCTCTGCTAGCCCAGAGCAGCAGGACCAAGAACATTTACTCCTAAGCAAGCCTTTTACAACAGTTAGGCAATACTCGGTTGTCTCTCTGGAGCCACAAATCCTTTAAGCACTTGGCATCAGCCACAGATTTGGGATGAAGAGCTACAGACCTCAAAAGTCCCCAGCAATGCTGGAGGCTTTTGTTTTTTTGTGATGAGAGTGGACATGTTTCATAAAAGTGAATACCTTGCTGACATCACTGAGCCCAGAAAGTGAAATGTGCAAAGGGCATGTTCTCAGAGCACTAAGACAGACTCATCCTTAGGAGGTGTACTGAAGGTGTCACAGCTGCTAAGATGACAAGTGACAGACACCATACCCCACAGACAGCTCTGAGGACCACTTTCAGTACCCAAACAAGCCAGGACCTCAGCCTAACATTAAGCCTCAGACAGCATTTCAGCCTCGTTTTGGTGCAGCCCTTCACAACAGATCTGAAAGACCCAGAAGAGCCAGAAACTTGTCACTGGCTGATGGAATTGAAGTCTCTTTTCCTCTGTAAAGAAGTCATGAGGTAGAGATCTCCAAATACAAGACCTAGCCATGGCCTGCATTGACATGAACAGCCCTCTCTCATTTGAAAGCATCCAGACAGATTCCTTCTCTCACCACAGTCATTCAGCAGCAAGCATCAGAGCAGAGCACTGATTATTTTGGGACTACAGCCCATAACAAGTGTTCAAGCCCCCACCCGCCCCTCAGAAATAGTTGGAACTATCTGCGAGGAGGATCTCTCACCATCCCCACTAATACAGAGATCAGCCTGTGCCATCGTGAACACAGGGTGCAACGTGGCTGTACCCCCCTTTCCTCAAATAGCTGGTTGGTGACATGTTATTCAGGAACTGTGGGAATCACTGGCCATGGGATAGAACAGTTTTGAGTTTAAGTGACCCCTTAGCAGCAGTCCCTCTGAGGCAGAGGGCATGTGCTAGGCACCTGCTAGACAAGGATGGTGGAAGAACAGAAGAAGGGATGAAGGCTTTTCCAGTTTTCCATCTGAGAAGGCAGGAAGATACAGGACAGCAAGGACAATCAGCTCCCAGGCTGTATGCTCTTTCCATGCATGTCTGCTCCGGTGCAATTAGAGAAGCAAGGGATGAAAGAGGCTGATGTCATCTAATCAGATGGAGCACTTAAGAAAAACCCAGACAGGTTAAGGGTTATGGCCACGCCAGTCTGGCAGAGCCTCACCGCTCCAGCAGAAGGACTTACTCATTGCTGCACCCAGCTGCTGACTCCTGAGCGAGGTGAGGATGCCAAGTGTTCAAGAAGGTCTTTAAAAGGGTCGAGATGGAGGTTGTTGTGGCTAAATTTCCATGTACTGTGCTCCTGACCATGACCTGGGGGAAAGCAGGAACTGGCAGGCTCTTGGGAAAGGTAGCATTACTCAAGCAGATGTCTAGCTGGCAGCAGAGGAGCTAATCCAAAAGCAAGGTAGAGAAGCACCCTGGGTTGGATATCTGAGCCATGGTTCTGCCAGTTTGAGGCAAGATTGGGAGTGATCTGAGGAATTCTGACCTGAATGTACTGTGAACTCCAGATTTCCTGAAAATGAACAGTTACAAGCTGAAACAGAGGGGAAGAGATGCTCCCAAGCAAAAGGGATTATGTTCTAGGTAAAAATAAGGCAACAACAAAAAACCCCCTATCCCCACCAAATAAGAATCCCACATGCTTTTTGTCAAGCCTCCACATCCCCTCAGGAATGTCAGGGGCCAGGAGGGGATAGGAAAAGGTTAGCCTCTCTCCACAGAAAGGGGGAACATCAGGCAGTTTCATGAGTTTGACTTTCAGCCCCAGAACAGCCTAGAGTGCAAAATAATGCCAGCTCTCTCCATGGGTGTTTGTTGTTTCCTGGAGTCCTCCCCCCACCCAGCACCAGTTCATCCTCAGCTTGTACATAGCCTGAGGAGCTCTGTAAATCAAGCAAGATTAGCTCAAATAACATAGCACAGGCCACGTTTTCTTCCACTGCTTAGACAGATGCCATTTCTCCAGCATCTCCACAAAGGAGGCACTGTGTACAAAGACAATTAGCCAGGCCTTCAGCACAGAAGCAGCCTATGCTTTTATCTGAGGACATCTCAGACCAGGACACTCCGCCCAGAGTAGCGGAAGCCCAGTGCCCTTCTACAAGTTGCAACCAACTGGCCCTTAATAACTGGGAACAGACAGGCCCTCCACAGCAGGTTCTGCTTCAAGTCACACTCAAACACACCCGTCAGCTCTAGATCCTGAGCCACTTTAGCTCAGCTGCTGTGGTTCCACTATCACTTCTCTCCTTCCTGGTAGTGCCAATTCCTGGTTAATTATGCCCTAAGCCCCCTTAATACAACTCCTCCTGTGCTTTAAGAGAATCCTGAACACAGCCAAGCCAGGCATCTCTCAGGTAGCTACCAGCACATGGCCCCCTTCTGCCTAGAGACAGGTGGGATAGTTTTATCACCCTGTTGCCCATGCAGAGGCCAAATATCACCACTCAGCATCATTTCTTTTGTTAAAATGGAAGCCAGACAAGCACCGAAGGCTTTCAGGCCATGTCACATCACTTTCTCCAAAGCTCTGGAGCTGCAGGCTTTACCACCTACCACCTCCACAAGATCACCCACAAACACCAAGCACCAGACACCCAGACCGCTTGCAGCAGCCAAGTGTCAGACCCTTTCTGTAACTAAGCATGCATTCCCATTTTAATAAGTCATTTTATCCTTCCTCACTCTCGATTCTGAGCTCTTATTTCCTCAGACAGGATTTCCCTTGGCTCTAGGTCTTCAAGGAGAGAGAAATGGGGTATATTCAGCCAGAGTCCACAGAACAACAGATACTGTGGGAGGAAGGGAAGCCTGAGAACCTATCTGAATTTACTTTGCTGTTCTTAAAGGAGGCTTTTAATAACCCTGCAAAGAGAGAAATTTGCCGTCAGGTCTAGTGACAGAGAAAACCAGAAATCTAGCCACTTTGTGGTACCAGAACATGGGATCCCTTCCTCAGATTGTCTTTCAAGGGACACACAAACATCTCCTGGTTGGAGCAATTGGTAGGTCAGGCTCCCTTTAACAGACAAGATGGATTATGCACACTATGCACCATTTGTTATTTTGCTGCCACTTGATCAGCAGCATATCTAACCCCGACAGCTTTTGCAACGGGCAGTTTCCAGGTGTTTGTGGCAGAGGGGCAAGAACCAAAACAGCTGAACAACCCAATTGCTCCAAGTCCCACATTATCATGTGAATGTTGATGTCCTCGGGAAAATGAAATCATAACTCCCATCCGTGACACATCGGAGCGATGGAGCGATTTCGCTGTGTGTTAGCGATTCCTTTGTGAGGCTGGCGAACAGCTGAGAGCTGCAGAGCAAAGAATCTGAACAACAACAACAAAGCTGGAAGGAAAGTACTGCCTATTTATGAAACAAGTCACCAAACTGGAAGGCAGGCAAGCAAAGGGCTGCTCACAAGAAACTGGAGCAGAAACAAAATATTCAGAGGAGGAAGGGGAGGGGAGAGCCACGGCTTTAAAAGATAAAGACAAGTGAAAGGACTAGAGAAAGGAGGATTAAAAAAATAAATCGCAAAACAAGTGATGAGAAAGCCAGGAAAGGAGGAACACAGCTCAGCAACAATAACAAGCAGCTCCGCACTGTCCCAGTAGCGATCATTGTGCGAGGAGGGGGCCCACCTCTCCAGCCCCAGGCTGTTGTCTGGGGAGGCAGAGGGATTTTGTCTGACAACAAGCTGCAGAACAACAAGCCCAGTTCACAGCGGAGCAGAGAGATGGAGAGAAGGAGGGAGCGCAGCAACAATAGCAGAAGAGGCTCTAGCTGGTGACGTAATGGTTGGCATCACTCCAGGCCAGAGCAGCCCCTGCCGCTGCCACTTTCTGGTCCCCTTTAGAGAAGGGGAATCAATTAAAAACAAGATGCGGAACAGTCCCCCAAGAGACCCCCGTGGCTCTGCCACCCCTTGCAGGGTTGCAAAGAGAAAAGCCCCACCCGGGAGCAAGGAACATCTCTGCACCCCCCCACCCCCAGATTCAGGGCATGTGCCTGTTTCCCCCTCCCCACATCACCCCACAGAGGCTGCATTCACGGCACACCCCTGCACCCCACCACCCTGTCACGAGGATTCAGGGCACACTTTTTGCTCTCACACACCCCCCCCCA